CACGAGCCACCTTGTGGTGGCTCGGTGGTGGCCGACGCCACCAAGGTGGCCGCCGAGCCACCAAGGTGGCTCGCCGAGCCACCAAGGTGGCCGCCGAGCCACTCTATAGGTGGCCTCGGTCACCGAGCCACCACGTGGTGGCTCGGTGGTGGCGAGCCACCTATAGGTGGCTCGGCCACCGAGCCACCACATTGGTGGCTCGGTGCGTGGCCGCCGAGCCACCACAAGGTGGCCCTCCGGTGAGGCCACCAATCGTTGTCTCGGCCAGCCGAAGCCACCACTTGGTGGCTCGGCCACCGAGCCTCCTTGGTGGTTCGGTGAGCCGACCTACAGGTGTTTGTCGTTTTGCCTCTTTGTGCCCGTTTTCCGATTCTGCGGTTGATTGGTTCGGATTCGATTTGTTGACCTGATTTGGCATGAGATCCGCTTCTGGGTTTGAGTTCGAATCCGTTCTATGGTTGGATGACTCGTTGACTCTTCAACCTGTTGGCTTGATTCCGCACACGGGTGGATTCATTCCATTGTTTACGTGCGGTTCATCAGCTTCGTAGCCTCGTTAACCCGCTTCGTTGCGTATCATCCGGCTTCGGTGTTGCGGACTAACGGTCGTGCTTGGATACGTCGCCCGATGGTCGATTTTGTCAAATTGGCGTCGTCGAGTTGTGTTAAGGGACCTATAGGCAGTTTTATACGCCTACAACTTATATTGTGTAGGATCCATAGACGGGAAAGACTGTTGGGGCCGATCGGAGGAGACATAAACTGTCTTTTCTGGAATATCTCCACCTTCCAGAGTCCATACGTCCACGTTCTCTTGTTATTTCTGTAAGTCCAAAAATCTCTACCTTGCTTTCCGCAAATTTGTGGCACAGACGACTTGGTCATTGATAAACACGTAAAATATGCATCATCTTAGTGTGTTTCAAGCATGATTTACGGATGTTTAATGTATATTTTGTGTTTAGATCGAGGATACTTCTATTGTTTGTGTTCTTATATTTAGGTATTAGCTCAAGATTGAAAGATTCAATGATCGTTGGAAGTTGAACAAGAGTTTGAAGCAACAACAAGATTTCGAATGCATGGTTTGAGAAGAAAATGGATGCACGAGTATGAAAAACTAGAATTTCGACCATGATGCAATCTTAATACAAAAAAGCTTAATACAAAAAAGCTTAATACAAAAAAGCTCAAAGATAAAAGTTATAGATCTCTTCAACAGCTTTCCAATACAACTTGAATCACCTTATTCTGAGGTCTGACGCAAAAGTTATAGCCAAAATACCAAAAACTGGACAAACAAGCACAAAATCAGCAAAACAGATTTCACTACACCCTGGTGTGGTACGCACCACACCCGTGGCGCGGGCCTTATATTTTTCTAGATTTTTTAGGGACATATAAATATATATTTTGGCTTAGGGTTTATATATCTTTTGTTATGTTCTCTTAGCCGTCAATTAACAACTATTTTAGAGTTCAAGTATTGAAGGAAGACACTAATTTCTTGTACAAGATTGGATTGCAAGTTCTTATTTTAAAGATTTCAATTGAAAGACGGGTGAATTCTTTCCTCTCTTTAATTTATTTCTTCTTATGATTGATTTGCATAATTATTTGATGTATTCTCTTATCCCAATCATGTGTGAGTTGATTCTTTGTCTAGGATTGGGAAAGAACCCAACTTTTTGGTGATTGATGATGAATTAATATAGGTTCTTGGTAAAAGTTTAAATCTTTAAACTTAATTTCTTGTATTTTAATTTTGTTGGTTCGCTTGATCATCGTATTAGCAATCATAGGTAATTAATTGAAGGACTGAAAGGTGAAGATTAATACCAGACCTCTAGAAATTTAAGCAGGGAACTCGAACCACGAAAGCAGGCTAGATTCCTTGGGGATTTGATTAGGATTAGTATAAAGCTTAATGAGTTTAATTTAATCTTGATTTCATGAAAGTAGGTTAATTAAGATTAATTAGGCATGATCTTTAGACCTTGAAAGATGCTTTAGATTAATTTAGGCTAATTCAATCTTTCTAGTTTAAACCAACACCGAGAACTAAAATAATTCATCATTGAGCATCGTAGTTGTGGTGAAAACCCAATACTGGCCCTTCATTATATGAATTCCACCTAGTTAATTATTTATTTTATTTCTTTTAATTTTCATCTCTTCTAATTTACTCATTAGTTTAGCTAGTCAAATAACATGAAATTTGGTAATTAACCCGTAGTCCCTATAGGATCGACCTTGATAGCTACAACGAGTCTGTGCGCTTGCAGATTTTACCTATCAGTCATGTGTCTCATAAAAGGATGGAAAGCCTTATCCAGTCCGGAGTACTTGGTCCCGTATCCTCTCGTTCTCATATTAAGTCATGTACTGGTTGTAAATTAGCTAAATTCACTGCTCTACCGTTTCCAACCAGTACATCTGTTTCCACTTCCTTATTTGATTTGGTCCATTCTGATATCTGGGGGCCAGCTCCTCTGCCTTCTTCATCTTGCTACTTATATTATGTTAGTTTTATCGATGATTTCTCTCGTTATACATGGGTCTACCTACTTAAAACTTGCTCTGACGTACTTGCTGCTTATTAAGCCTTCACTGCGATGATCTTTACTCAATGGCAAGTTCGTATTAAAGTTTTTCGTTCTGATTGTACCAAAGAGTACCTATCCTCTACCATGCGCTCTATCAGAAAATTAGGGAATCACCAAGAAATATACAATAACCTGTGGTAGACTTTCTGTAGTGGGATCACCAGCCCAATCAGCATCAGAATATGCACAAAGCTCTAACTTGGATGTAACAGGAAACAGAAGAGAGCAAGTGCTAGTACCGCGAAGATACCAAAGAATCCGTAATAAGGCAACAAAGTGTACAGAGCGTGAGGCACTAACAAATTGAATGACAATGCCAACAACATGAGAGATATCTGGTCGAGAGATGCACAGATAGACCAACTGACCAACAGAATGTCAAACTTCGCTCTACTGCTGGTGAGCCTCTATCTGATCATGCCCGATATCGACATCTTGGTGGCCAGTTGGTCTATCTGTACATCTCTCGACCAGATATCTCTCATGCCGTTGGTATTGCCAGTCAATTTGTTAGTGCCCCACGTTCTGTACAATATGCTGCCTTATTACGAATTCTTCGGTATCTCCGGGGTACTAGCACTCGCTCTCTTCTATTTCCTACTACATCCAAGTTAGAGCTTTGTGTATATTCTGATGCTGATTGGGTTGGTGATCCCACTACCAGGAAGTCTACCACATGTTATTGTATATTTCTTGATGATTCCCTAATTTCCTGGTGGAGTAAGAAACAGATGTTGTTGCTCTTTCCAGCACCGAGGCAGAGTATCGTGCAATGTCCACAACAGCTAAAAATATTATTCATCTTCGTCGTCTTCTCAGTAATTTCCGTATTTCTGTTTTGACTCCTACTCCTCTATATTGTGATAATAAGAGTGTCATCCAGATTGCTAATAATACAATATTTCATGAGAGGACCAAACACATTGAGATCGACGCTCATTTTGTCCGTCAACAAGTTATCAATGACAAGATAATTCTACTTCCTTATGTGTCATCCGCCGACGAGCTTGCAAATTTCTTCACAAAGGCCTTACCTGTTCATCGATTTCAGTTTCTTGTACACAAACTCACTTTGTTTGATCCAACATGAGTTTGAGGGGGGCTGTTGATAATAATGTATTGTAGTAGGTTTTAGTCTCACATTGGTTGTGAGAACACACATCACCCTCCTCTGCTTGTATAAATATATGTGTACACTCAATATTCAACTTAAGGGAAATTTACCCAAGACTCTCTCTCTTACTTTAACAAGCTGAGTAGCAAGATACAAACCTAAAGACACCCTCTTAATAAGTGAATTAGACTGTTATAATATGAAAATCGAACAGTATAATTAAGTGGGTGAGATACTATAATCATCAGCCTGTTCTTTTCTCAAGGAAATAAGGATCAGTAGGTGAGGTATCACACCTCAATCCAAATAGGATTTGGATTGGATGTCTGTTGTCCAATTACACACAACTATTTGTTCAGTCGATTGATGGTGGCGTCTGAGTTTATCCGAGCGGTGAGACGGCGTCCAAGTCCAACTTGCAAATATGAGCATCAGAAAAGAGTTTTCAGCGTCAGTCTTATTTTGGAGGAATCTTGTTGGGGAAAAACTGGGTGACACCGGCTCTATTTTAATCCGCCTCCCGTGCTTCAAAACAAAGCCACTTCTATCTCAAATTGTAATCCTGATTTAGTTTTGAGGAGTTTGCCAAACTTACCCTTTTGTCGATAGACCGAGTTTTCTCCTTCACCGTCAATTGCTCTTATATACGCTGAACTTCATTTACCTCTGTGTACTTGTGTTCTGAAACACTATTAGACAAATTACACCGTTTAACAACGTATACCACTCAATATCATGCATACCGCGTTTACAAACATCTCAATAGTACACTGATATACTACATACCGATATACTACATACGTAAACATCTCAATAGTACACCAATGCGCTACGTAATTTGAGAAACTGAAAACGCAAAAAACAAAAGTGAAGAACGGTAACTATTAACATTCTTATTCATTGCAATCTAGACAGTGCATGATGCCTTTAATAATAGGAAGTGAAAGAACAGCAAAAAGCAGTTGGAATTTCAGGCCTTTTCTTTCGATCACTTGAGGGATTCCCCGTTCAATCTTTGCGTCTCAACACAAAATTTAAGAGAATAACTTTGCTTAAAAGGGTGCAAAAAGGCAATTTGATACAGCTAAAAGAAAAGTCAATTATTTTCCTCCCATTTCCTCAACTCGAGAAAGAAAGGTATATGTGCATGACTTTGCTCAGTTCTGCACACTTTCAAATATGAGGCAGTAAGCTTTGTGCGTCTACAAATATTAGTATCAGAACTATACAAAGAAATTGAAGGAATGTAAGGAAAAGGGAAGGAATACCTTTCTTCAACCAAACTAGGACTTGCGTGGCAAAATCACTGCAGAACCTTGCTTGCCTTGCCAAACTCCCGTTTCCTTGTTCACCAAGTTATGAACTCAAGTAAATAGCCATCAGGAGCATCCTTCTCTGAGAGTTCAGAGGATTATGAAAGTCTGCGCATCATCAACATCTACAATTTGCTTCGGGTACTCGGGTATTTTCCAACCTTAAATTTTAACTCGAAAAGAGTCCTTAGCTTGCAATTGTTGTTTCTTTCATTCATCAAAAGCACGAAGAGATCACATGTATAATCATGATATCCTAGTAGGACCGGAAAATTTTCACTAAAAGACCACATTTTCATCATGGAGACGAGGAAAGGTTCATTAAAAGGGAAATGAAGGAAAAATAGAATTGCATTGCGACTGTTAAATAATGTTCTGTAATGGCAGAAATTAATCGACAAGATATACAATTACATACAACACATTTCATTCCAATCCTGAATAAAGAGGACAGACTCAAGTTCTGAGTCTTCTGACAAACACCAAAAAGCGTATGATATATTATACACATGTATGATTTGTGCAGAAAAAGAAAAGATAGAGCTGGCTACAAAAATTGACACCAAGGAAAATGATGAGACAAACCGACATTTTTAGTGATGGAGAGTTTGAAGCATTGATCGCGGCAGCTGCTTATGCCATCACCTTACTCGAAGAAAAAGACGGTCCACAGAAACAGAGAGGATCGGTTAAATTTTCTGAAGAGACTCTGCCTAAAGCCAAAAGCAGAAATGAAGATGCCAAGGTAAAGCTAAACAGTTTTCGCGGATCCTTCAAGAAATGGTTTTCTGATCAGGGAGCAAAAGAAGATGAAAAACCTGGAGGTATCTCTATCTAATCTTTAAATGCTTTTTAAGTCTGCAACAAGATAGTCATGCAATTTGCATGGGCTAAATAAATTACCAAAATGTTATGTTTAGTAAGGCATATGTACCAATTTGCATGGGCTATTAAATTTGAGACCAAGATGCAGTTAGCTCCATTTTCTTAATGCCGCCGAAAAAAATAGTATGAAAATGTCACGTGATTAGTTCTGAGGGTTATTAGGACGCTAATGTGGCTAGGTTTAAGTGACTTGGTTGGGATTAGTTGACGCGGCACATATGTAGGGAGTTTTAAGTAATCCTAAAATTATCACGCTACAGTAGAGGTTAGCAGAGAATCTCCCAGATCCCTTTACGGCCTCATTCCATCTCCTAGTACCTGTCAACCTCTTGAAACCATGCCCAATTCTTTGATGCAGTCTAGATTTTTTATTTTTTTTTAAAAAAATTATAGTTAGAGCCTGAGCTTGAAGAGAGCATAATGGTGTTTTTCCTAGTTTGAAGATGATCCCCAATTTTTGAATATGAGATTGAAAAGAAGGGATTTCGGATATGAACCCTGATCTTTAACTTCAATCCTAATTTTGAAGAGAGGAGGAAAAACATGCGACAATCACATGATCTCAAGTAACTCTGCCATGTTATTTACTCTTATTCATGTCAGCTTCTGACTCATCCAAAAAAAGGAGATCACATGACCTCCCATGATGTTTGGCGGCAATTTTTTCGCCGGCTGCGAGAAAAGAGGGTTAATTATATAATTGGGCTCACATTTAATATTTAATTGTCGAAGGAGAAAGAAAAAGTTATCAAACTGATAAAGGGATCGTACTAAATATACCAATTTGGTAATTTAGCCTGTTTTCATGTGACTAATAACAAAAGAAAAAAGATAAATTTCACAGAACCCCCTAACTTAATAATTTAGAGAAAACCCTCCTGAAACCTCCAAATTATACAAAACCGCCCTGAACTATTGGGATTTGTCATAAATGACAGTTTACATGAATTGTAAAAAGTCTAAACTATCCCTTTTTACTGTTACCTGCCGTAACCTGAAAAGAGGGTAAAAGGAGATGTGAATATACAAGGAAGAAATTGCCCAGAACATCTCAGATGCTAAGCATGTGATGAATGAAACTAAATGCCGTCAGTCAAGATATTTTTTTATGAAACGCATCCTGGGAGCTTTCTCTAATTTATAAAGTAAACAGGTTCAGGAGGTTTTTTCTCAAATTTATCAAGTTCAGGAGGGTTTTGTACAAAACACCTCAAAGTTCAGAAGTTTTGTGAAGATTACCCAAAAAAAAAGAGAGTGAATTAATGAATTTCATATTTCCTAAAGTAAGGAAATGCATATATACAGTCTCAGGTGACAGTTTCACAAGGAAACCAGAAATAGAAGAGCAAATCAATCGGGAAGACCCCAGCGCAAATAACAGTATCACAGAGACGGCAAGGGATAGCACCCCCGATACAAAAAAGACACCATCTTTCACTGATAACCATCTAAATGGCACAGGTAGTAAGAGGAGTGACAGTGGAAAAGAAACGAGACCGAGTCTTCCAAGAGCTCCGTCAGCCAAAATACTTCCGACTTCATCATTTGGCAGGAGGACACAGGGTGAATACTCGCCAGACAAAAATAAAACAGAAGATGAAGCTGACGCTTGGGAGAGAGAGAATAACGCACAAGAAGAAGCAGACGCTTGGGAGAAAGAACAGATGATTAAGATACGAAAACGGTAATGATAATCTAAATTTCTGTCAGATTTTTGTTACATGTCTGGGATGTACTGAGATACTAAAGTTTCAGGTTTGATAAGATGATGTCCATGATCGTGGAATGGGAGAATGAGAAGAAGGCGAAAGCCAAGAGTCGTTTAGAGCGCAAAGAGGTCTGTTAGAGTTACAGTACCTTAGCTTCAACGTCACTCTAAATTTGTTCTACCCTTTCACTTATTTCAGACAAGTAGCACTCAATGGATAAAGAATAGGTCCCATTACACTAGATTACATCATTAGATCTAACAAGACAATGAACGCGTTAAATTTGATGCCAAAATGTACAAAGATTATATATAACATGGAACATAAGCATATAGTGTTCAGTAAATAGTGCTTATCAAGACTATTCCTACATAAACTGACAAAATCTAGCGTGGGGGGAAAAAAGACGTGCTAGGTGTCTTACATAGCAAAATAAAATGGTCATATTATGTATGCAATGATCCTTTGAAACAATTTCTCCAATAAACACTGTGTTCGAGTAAAAAAATTTGCGATAACCAATTTTTTAAATCTTTCGGTGTCATCTAAGGTTCATGTTCATGTCATTCCTTCATTATCAGCTAACAATTAAACAGCAAACTTCTTGGAAAATATTCTTTATATCATTGTGGGAATGTGGTTAAGAATAGTAGAATCAGACACACGTCATCAAATACAAGATCACTAGAGACGATAAGTTTCATGTTGCCAAAAATGTAATTCATATTTTCCCTGTGGGTAATTGCAGAATGAACCAGAACAGACACGAGCAAAGGCCTTGCAGAAATACGAAAACGAGATATCAAGAATTGAAAAAGTTGCCGGTGATGCAAGAGCACTTGCAGAAGAGAGAAAAAGAAACGATGAAACAAAAGCAAGGGCAAAGGCTGAAAAAATAAGGTCTACAGGCAAAATGCCCCGTGCTTGCTGCTGCTGTTGAACGATCAATAACATGGCAACAAAACACTAACGCTTCGAACTCCATTGGATAATGAAATTTTTTCATTCTTTCTACAGCATTCGAATCATGTATTGGACAAGCTATGTATAAAAGTTTCTACAAGTGGTTTATATAACTAGATTGCAGTCAAGTGAAGGAAAAAAAAAATAATCGGTCAATAACAAAGTGAAGAATTCAGATTTATCTCTACTAAAACATATGCCACTATGCCAGAAATTAGAAGGAAAACAACCTTATACACCAAGGCGCAGAACAATTAAGCTGAATGATAATGGGGCCCAGACAGATCATGCCAACAGGTAACTTTCCATGTGATTGTAAGCCAAAAATGTAACTTCTGCATGGTCCTACATAGTTTCTGGGCATTCTCTTCAACTTCTTCAGATATGATAGGCAACGAATGCAGTTGATAGAAGTCTAACTCCAAATGAACAAAGAATTCAGGGAACACAGTAGATTGTCAGAATGACCTTAAAATAATTTAGTAGGGAAGTCCCGTGAGATTAAAACTTCCCCCAGAAAAGTCAAGTTTTTATTCTTTTATTTTATAGTATATCGAATAGAATATACTTGTATAATCTTCCAATTGAGGAGTAGTAGAACTTTCCTAATATTCTGACAAGTTGGCATGAAAGCAAATAGACATTTCCTTGTTAATACTTCGGTGAAAAATATACTATGATATTTTTGTGCAAAACCCCTAGTGGTTCATAATAGTTTCGTAAATTTACCCAATAAACAGACGAAGAAGCTGCCACGAATGCTAGCAGATGTATTATTATGTGAAGCTGAAATTAAGAACATTAGAATGCTAGTTAAGTGCTGGTCATCTAATGGTTAAAAACACTTTAGAAATAACCAAAAAGATCTGATGAATAATTAAAGTCTTATAACAATAACAATTTCCAGACGACCCTCAATGTTCATAAAATTCTTCTAATAAATTCATACGGAATCATGTAAAATATACGAGATCCCTACAATGAATTCTCAGCTTTTTTACTACATCGATGGCATAGCTAGTTCTATGTATGTTCTAACCATTAAGATCAGCTTCACCTCAAGCAGGGACCAAGCACCCTCAACCATGGTATGTTCTTGTGAAAAGTTTAATACCCTGAACATAATTTAAATCCACCCAAAGACGTCTGACTCATTACTGCGAGCAACCAATTGAATGAGAATAAAATCAGAAGTGATCAAAATGAAATGAAAGTGAAATGATGATTATGAATGCTAAGACTTTTGACTCCCTATCCTCGTTAAAAAGAGAGAAATCGTTTGGCATGGAAGTCTCGCCAAAGAAATCTTTAAAACCCGTCATTCCCCCAATTTACCAACCAATTCGGAACAACATTGACCTTCGCACGGGCACGTGCAATAAGAATTGCAGCAAGCACTCCTAACCAATCTCTTACCTCATTGCGGAATCTTTGTTAGAGAATAAACTAATTAAAGCTTACAATTCTTTAATAATAATAATGATAAAGCTTCTAATTCCATAAAAGGAAGGTCAAATTAATACCAAGTAAGAACTAGAAGGCTGGAACATTATCAAATGTAAATGTCAAGAATAGGGCTACTATTAGCAGATCTATAATGAGTGGCACGTTACTGATGGATATCAAATTACTGCCAAATATGAACCAGATGTTAAGACTGGAATATCACCAAGTATAGATGTTGAAAATAGAAATAGTACCAACAGATCTATAAAGTCTGGCACATTACATTAGATAACAAGAATAGAGATAATCTGAAGAATATCTGATTCACATGCTGACTGGTGCACTGCAAATATACTTCAAAAACAATTCTACTCATAAAATCTCAAGGACCAAGCATCCATCAGCTTTATTAACCAACTCTTAACAAGAACCACATGAATATCCACAATGGAGATGAACAGAAGATTGTGCTTCCAAATAACCAACAAATTTACAAGATTTCATACCTTTCAGTGGATTGCTACCTTGATCTAACATGTTTCTCTCTGTTTATATATCATGTCCGAACTTTATATATACTCGAAATCCCCATTCTTCTGTTTTACAATTCAGACAGTTGGAGCCACGCGACTTTCTTGCAGAGAGATGACAGTCTCAAAAGCACCCACAAGAGCCTTTACCTTGCTCTTCCTCGTCTCCACAAGTTTACTGGCAGTCTCTTCGATCACATCATTGAACAAAGCTTGACTTTCTTTCTCTTGTAAATCTTGATGTCTCAAAACCACCGCCGGAGTTTCCAAGCTTGGAGCAATCAACTCAGCAGACGAACCAGAAGAAACTCTCCTCCTTTGAATAGTTCTCACAACATCTTTATTTTTCTCATTTGTCCCCTTTGGTTGTCTAAATTTTAACATCCGAGGAGTGTCATTTTCAGGCATAGGATTTATTACCTTACCCCTGCGGAACTTCATCATGTAAGTGGAGGGGGCTTTGGTTTCTGAGAGGACAGTTGCAGTTGCAATTCTGGTCAACCTCCTCTTCTCATTGTATTTTGGAGAGCTAACAGTTTTGCTTCTCTTGGTTTTGTCTTTGGCTAAGGCCAATTCAGTTGCTTTCCTCAGTGTACACTCAAACTTCTTGCTTTCTTCTTTGTCATGTGACGACACAGACAATGATGATGACGATGACGATGACGATGGAGAGGAAGAGGTACTTGATGAAGAATGTGCTCTATTTTTATTCAGTTCCTTTGCTTTAGGTTTTGAACTTGCCTTCATCGGTTTTGGCTCAATGACGTGCAAGGTTTTCTCCTTCGCTTTCTCATTAGTGTCTTCCGGTTTGCCAACTTTTGCTCGATTCTTTGCTGGGGACAACGGTTTCAAGCTTCTACCCCTACCCCTAATCTCAGAAGGTTTGCTGGATGTAGATGCTTTTGATGACTTCAGTCCTGGATCTAAACTCTTCACTATCTTGTTCGTGGAGTTTCTTTGAGCAGATGCGCTTCTTGAAGAAATAAGTGTTGCAGTAGATTTCACCACAGGAGTAGTTGATTTCAAAGAGATTGAGGGCTGAGCAGGCCCGTCAATCTTCTTAATAACCAATGATTCCTTCTGCTTAGTAAATATTGGCGATTCTGACATAGTGACTTTCTTGGCAGAAAACGGGCTTTTGTGTTCAGCAACTTTCAGCTTAACAGATGCAGATGTTATCTTCTCCCTAGCTGATGTAATCATCTTTTTTACAACAGTAGGTTGTTCTGTTTTTAACTGGGGGCTCATCTTTGTTTGGTCCACCCCTCTCTTCATCCCTTCAACCATCTTCAAATTCTCTATCTGGTTTTCTTTAGGTTTTGGAGTCTTTAGCTTCATGCTTAAAGATTTTGCGGATGATTCTACTACTCTACTAGAAGATGCAGTGCTTTTCTTGGTAGGTGGTATAATCTTAGCCTTTACACTCTTTTCAGTGGGTAATGAAGCTGTTTTCTCCAATCCCACACTCGCGATTACTGGCAATGAGGTCACTGTTTCAAATCCCAGCTCCTCAGATGATCCTTTGAGTTGATCTTTAGGTGTATGAGTGGATGATGGCGAATCCAGCTCCATGCTTTCAGACCTCTCTGATGATTTTTCAGACCAAAGTAGAGGTGTGCTAGCATCATGAGAGATTATTCTTTTCTCAGTGGGCAAAGAACTCTGATGACTCAAAGTCTCAGATGTCACAGATAATTCTTCTATTTGATGGATTGGCGATGAAGTCATTGTGTTGACGATTATAGGTTCCTTAGATGATCCTTCACCTTCACAGGACAGTAATGGAGTCGAAATTTTCTCGGTTTCTGGTGCTTCAAATGATTTTACTTTAGACTGAGTAGAATTCACCTTTGTTTCTTGTTTCTTCCTCCTCCCTTGAAAAGTTGAAACTTCTGTTTGTTCTTCATTTTGGATCGCACTGCTGGCTGAAGACATATGGAGATTGGGCATTCTTTTTTTAGATTCAAAGACGTGCTTCTTCCCGTACTTGCAGTAATCATGACAGGAGTTGGTAGAAACTTTGAGATAACGGGAAATAATTTTCTCATTGCTACTTAAAAGGGATGGCGAAGTTTTGGTATTTGCTTTTCCATTTGAGTTTCTCCTTAATTCTTCTTCAGTCTTGCCTATGTTGGAGGTCACTGAATGAATGACCTTCTTCACTTCTTCCTTGTCCATTATGCGACTTTGACCACGAAGCGCCAAAATTCAGCGGATCAATGAACCTGTAATCAATCAGAAAGAACCACTTTGAGGCTATAAAGCAATTTTCCATATATGAATAAAAAAACATTAAATAATATTAATGAAGTGGCTCAAAGGTTATTGAGCAAGCGCTTCCATGATATAGAAAGTTAGTTAGAAACTTAAATCTCTTAACTTTACACTTAGTCTACTACTGAAAATTCATGAGAAGTTTCTCATTACCTGAACTACTATGCTAGTTTAAATCCACAACTTCATTTTTCAATCCTTGCAGCATGCTTCTTATCAACCTGGAAAGAAGAAAACATATTCCAAACCCTATCAAACTCTGTACCTAGAACTTAATAGTATATAAGAGAGATCACCCTCAAACATGCAAATGGAGAATATAGGAGTTAGCAGTTTGGATTCTCAATGGAAGGGGACAGTAGACATGACAATTTATAAGAACTGAAAGCTACTTTATAATAGTGGATATTTATTCTTTAGAAACCAACATGCCAGCAAATGTGCAAATAAAAACAGTGTAAAGCGCTAAATACAAAGAAAATAAAACTTACAACGATTTATTTTTTTTGTATTTGATGTTCTTATAGAGTATCAAGTATGCAGAAGTTATAGATTGTACATTCGTGCTGAAAAAAAAAAATCGTAGATATACATGATAGCCAGCGGCATCCTAGAAAGAAATCAATTGCATTCATTTTCATCAATGACCATGCAAAAGCAGGATCACGTTTTGAATTGAATATCAGGAATAAAGTGAAGAACAAATTGATAGATCACAAAACTTATTATTTCCTCTGCAAAAGCCTTTCAAATTCAGTATGGCAAAGCTGTAAACAGAAGCCAGACCCATATACCATTCTCCTCGAAGCTGAAGAAAGCAATAACAATAAGATACAATATCACTGAATGGATATTTATTCTTCAGAAACCAATGTGCCATAAAAGGAACGATAAGAGCGAATTAACAAGCGAAAATAAAATCTTAGGAAAATTCCTTTCTCATATGCATGGCAACTTGATATTCATATAGAGTATCAAGCATAAAGTGGCCTCACTATTAGCCATTGTGAAAAAGAAATCAATTCTCTCCATTTTCAACAATGTCCAAACAAAGATAGACAAACACATAACAAATAAGTAGCAGTAATTAAATGAAAACAATTTGATTGATAAACAAAAGCCCTATTCCCTCACAAACTGCTCTTGCAAATTCTGATGTTAAAGCTATATAGAGAGTAACCAGACCCATGATTAGTCCTATGTTTTTTGAGGCAACGTCACCACCAAGACCTGCAATAGATTTCTTCGAAGGAGAGCTTCCTGGTTTTTCCAAACAAAAAAGGAAAAAAGAAAAAACTTCCCATCCAAATCCATCAAGGCATCAATAAGGAACTCTTTAATAAATGAAGCAAGTCATTATTATTAGATGAAGTAACCATCAGCAGTTTCCTTAATGATCAGGGAAAAGGTGAAAATAATCAAAAGCAATAGAATCAAACACTTATTCTCTCAATGTATGTAAATAATAATAATCAACATCTTAGTTGGAATTAAGAAAACAAGAGGAGGATTCTTTTTCCACAAGAAAAGAAAATAGCAAACTCATGAAAGATGAAATTCCTATCCCAACCACTGGCAAAAGGAAAGAGAAACCATACCACATTTCGCCCTCATGAAAGATGGAAAATGAAAATAAACCGCGAAAAAGTGGACGAATGTAATAATCCCACAAGTAAGAAAAACTCACACCATTATTAAAGATGAAAAGTGAAACCCCAAAAAAATCCAAACTTTTTGCGACAACCTCGATCAAACCCATTTTAAGCCCATCTCTGACGCAAATTTTAATTCAAAAACAAAATGTTCATACATTTTGTTGGTCAATAAGATAAGAAGACAAAACCATCTTGCAATTTAAATTCAATAAGCCGGGCTAAATTCACATCATTAAACCAGGTTTCTTAAGAACACAATTTAATCACATTTCAAACACAACTTCATCAATTTTACCGTTCAACAACAAGGAAAGAGGACACCATATTGAGAAAACAACACAATAAAGAAAAACCATCTCTTTTCTCCAAAATCAACAATTGCAAATGGGTTAAAACAAAACCCATCAAAAAATACCCATCAAGATCATACCTTATAGAATTCGAGCCAATGAGAAGGTAAAAATAAAGAAAACCCATCAGCAAACAAAGCCTTTATATGTCATCAATGCCCTCATTTTATGAGACCATAATCAAAACAGGGAACAGCACAGAAAATGACACAGAGAAAATAAATACTCAAGAATATCCCTTTTCTTAACAAGCTCCTCCCTCACCAAGAAACTCTAAACAACCCCATTCAATCACGTTTCAAAGATGATAACTTCGTCAACACAAAAGAGAAGTATTGAAATTAAAAAAAAACACAAAAAAATAAAACCCATCAAAAAATACCCATCAAGATCGTACCTTTATATGATTCGAGGTATGACGAGTTGAAAACAAAGACAAACCAACTCCGGTTTCCTCCGAAATAAGACACCCATCAACAAACAAATCCTTGGTTTGAAATCAAGGCCTTCATTTTAGGAGAACACCAAAGAAAAAGATATATAGAGAGAGAGAGGAGTTACCTTAACTTCATCATCACCGACCTCTGAATAGCGCCACCGCTCCCAATTTCTCGCTTTCTCCTCCTCCTCTTTTTGTATATCAACATAAATTTATTAGAGGACCTGAAAAACGGACCCATGACTTAACCAAACTGTAAACGGGTAATAGATGTGGGGCCCTGGGTAGCAGGTCAAATTAGATGGGTGAATTTTTGGAAAGGGTTGAAATAAATGAAGTGAATAATGAAGTGTATTATATAATTAATGTTAATGCATGCATTTGAGAGGGAAGAAGGATTAGCAGGGTATTTTAGGTTTCTTGTCTGGTTAGGTGAGCCTAATTTCATGGATTTCACATAAAATGAGGTTACTAAGGGTTTTTTTTAAAAAAAAATACAATCATAATTTTAAGAAAAAAGGTCGTGATGCAGTACAAATTTTATGAGAACACTCACATAAAATAGGGTAATGTACACCCTTCACCAGTGAATAGGAGGGTCGTTGATTTTTTTTAACTATTCTATTTCTAATACCTTATAATTTTTTTTTATTTATGCATTTTATAGTAGTAGTATTTATATCTTGTTTAGAACAATAACTCCCTAATATTTAGATAAATTTTTAAGATGCAATGCATAATTTTCTTAGATAAGAAAACCATGTAACAATTACAAGGTATATATTATATAATACATTTCATTGGGGGTGAATTTAGCTCTATTTTCCGAGTTTTTCTATCCAAGAAAAATCCATATTGGAACAATTTCATACTCAAAGTATGCTTTAACATGAAAGCATAGTAATTTATTACTCTTGTGCACAATGAGTTTTTAATTAATATTCGGCTAGCAAAAGAGGAAAGGAACAAAATAAATACAAAAAGGAAAATCAATTCTCATCTTGCGAAATGCTCAAAAGTAAAGGATCAAATATGAAAAACGAAAACAATGAAACTTTGCGTGGAATCTCTCTTGCTTATTGCTTAAGCACTCTGTAATAAGAAACTAATACTGCAATTAATTCCAAGGGAAAATGTTAACCCAAGCACAATCTAAATCGTATCTCGGCGCTCAAACAAAATATCGGCAAAAGATCACGATTAATTTGAGGTACGTTCAAATTATACTCGAATCGGTACCGTTTGGCAAAGAGTTAAGTGAGGGGTTAAGGAGACTTAACCCCTTCTTAACCTGCCAAACACAAAAAATCTATATAAGGGTTAAAGTGAGTTAACCCTCCATAATTTGCCAAACATAAAAAATATAGAAGGGTTAAGTTAACCCCTCTAGAGGGGTTAAAATAAGTTAACCCCTCAGAATGAGGGGTTTACTAATACTCCTATTTAGATGGAATAAGAGTTAACCCTTCTAATTATAAAAAAAATAGTCAAAATCATTGTTATTCCCAAACACTAAAATTGATCATAAGGGCTAAAATAAAACTTATTTAACGGGTTAATAATTTAGTCCTTCGGATTATCAAATGGGCTAAGTACATTAATCCTTCTCTTTAACCCTTCTTCATTAACCCTTTGCCAAACGGGGCCGAAAAGGTTTGAAACGGCGCGTAAATGACCGTTGAGAAGTCAAGAGACAAACTCATCCGCTGTCTTCCTCTCTTTATCATTTCTCGTTGAGGCACTGTTTTTTTTTTTGGTCAATGAAAATTTTATTCATTTGCCAAATTGTGAAGTTGTATGTACATCATATGTGCTCAGGAAACCTGAGATAGCAAAATATCTAAAAGAAACTTTTAAAGGCTAACAAAAAAATGAACAAAAGAAGCCCGTAATAAACGATAATTAGCCGGAAAAGATGCGCCAGTTATTTAGCCAAGGCATCCATGCCTTGTTCTCAGGTGGTAAATTGCTATTTAGGATGATAGTTAGCATCTCCACCTTGATCTCCCTTATCAGTTGCGCTAGATTCCTATTCTTCTGCTTGAAAATTCTTTCATTCCTCTCTTTCCAGATGCAGTACATAGCTGTAGACAAGGCCATTCTCTTAACTTTTCAATTGAATCATCTTCCCTTCAATCTATTACAGTGCCAGGTTATAAGTGAATGCCAATCACAAGTTTTGCATTTATACTGTAACCAGTCCATAACATCATTCCAGACTATACTTGAAAAGGCACACCCGAAAAATAGATGATTACGATCTTCCAAATTTGTTCCAGTACACAGGATGTAGCAGTTTGTCTGGATAACCCCTCGCCTATGGAGTTTATCTTGAGTAAGGAGCTTGTCTTGAATGGCTAACCACAACACAAAAGCATGCTTTGGATAGCATAAAGGTTCCCATACTGTCTCATGCCATAAGACTTTTGTTGTAATGGGAGATAGTGCATTATAAAGCCCCGATACCTGAATTCTAGAATTTAGAAGGCAGGAGCTGATTACATTCTTTAAATTTTCAACACTTCCACATTTTATGATAGCCTTGTCCCTGGTTTTCAGCATTTGTCTCCAAAGCCATGAATCATTTGCTTTCCCTTCCACACTCCAAAGCCATGAATCGTTGAGGCACTGCAATATTAACGACACGTGTACATTTCGTGTATTAGCTGTAGCTTTTTCATGTTAGTTATGATGTTTTGGGTAATGAGTGAAGCAGCTGACCTATCCAGTCAAATCTATAGATTCTCGTAGCAAAAGTTATAAAATTACAAAATCTAGAAATTCCGAAGAAAATCAATATCTTATATCTATTACTAGTTATGTAAAGGAAATCATTCTGGATCGTGTGAGTTGCATTTTTAACAATGCAAGAAATACCTTCAAAATGTGAAAACGGCGAAGGAATTGTGAAAAACGTGAAGAATAACCCAAAACAGACTCCACCACACCCTGGTGTGGTGTCTGCCATGGGTGTGGTAGAATCTGTCCTGCACCACACCCTCTGCCACACCCACGGTGCAGGGTGTGGCAGATTAGAATCCCAATCAGTTTGGGATTGTGTTTTGCTATAAATAGAGACACGTTTTTTAGGGTTTCCTAGGCTTGGTTTAGGCTTTGATTAAGCATTGATTGGGGGCTATTTGGAGCACAAAAAGAGGTATTTTTGAGCTATTTGTTTAGGGTTTTATTTGGAGAGATTAAGAGCTTTGTGGTGAGATTAGTTTGTTCCTTTGAGCGTATTGTAATCTCAGTTTGTATTCTTTCTCTATTAGTGAAAACCCCATCCCCCCTTACCCCGTGGACGTAGGCAACTTGCCGAACCACGTTAAAATTGGTGTTTTGTTTGTGCATTGATATTTGGTTCGTTTGGCTCTCTTGGATTGGCGTTTGGTTTGGTTCCTCGACACAGCTTCAGGCACAACAAGTGGTATCAGAGCTCGGGCAACGCTTGGGCTATTTGGAGGAGTAGATCGCTTTGGAAGTTCATCTAAGGCTTCGTTTGGTGATAAAGGTGGGGTCTTTTTAGTAAAAATCTCGTCTTTTTCAGTTTTGATCTATTTCTCGTTTGTTTCCGCATTGGTTTGGTGGTGTTTTGAGGATTATGGCCGAGAAAGAAGGAGTTGTGGGCAGTACTTCCGGCGTGAAGACCGTCCAAAGCTTGAATATCCACTCGATGAAGATTGACGTGGAAAAGTTCAATGGCACAAACAATTTTGGACTTTGGCGATGCGAAGTCATGGATGCGCTCAACGCGCAAAATTTGGAAGATACGTTGGAGTTGGACGGGAAACCGGACAACATTGATGAGAAGGTTTGGAAAAAGATGAATCGAACGGCGTGTGGTGTGATTAGGTCTTGTCTCACTCAAGATCTAAAGTATGATGTGATCAATGAGACTTCTGCAAAGAAGATTTGGGAGATCCTTGAGAGCAAGTATTTGACCAAGAGTGTGGAGAATCGCTTGCATTTGAAGAGGAGGCTTTACCGCTTCCAGTTGAAGAAAGGAACCTCCATTGGTGATCACATGAACCACTACACGAAGCTTCTTACGGATTTGACGAATGTAGATGTGGTGATTGAAGATGAGGACAAGGCGTTGTTGTTGTTGAGTTCCTTGCCTGACGAGGAATATGAGACCTTCGTTCTTACTCTTATTAATGGGAAGGCATCTCTTTCGTATAGTGAGGTCACTGTTGCACTTGTGAATTATCATCTTCGAAAGAAGGATAAGGAGACTTCGATTGAGCCGGTAGCAGGGGCGTTGGTCGCAAGAGCAAAGGGTCCAAACCGTAGTGGGAGGTCGCAGTCTAGAGGGGCACATCTTGGAGTTCGTAAGAATCGGTGTGCCTTTTACAAAGAGGATGGACATTGGAAAGCCGAATGCCCAAAGTTAGTTGATCGAGCCGGGAAGAATAAGGGAAAAGCTATTCAAGCTTCAGAGGCGAATGTTGTCAAGGCTAGTGGCAACGATTCAGATTCGGATTCTTCGGGCTACTCGTTATCTGCACTGCCGTCAGTTTGTGTTGCCTACTCTACAGAGTGGATATTGGATTCGGGTGCTACATACCACATTTGCCCTAGGAGGGATTGGTTCTCCAGCTTTCAGGAGTTGGAAAGAGGGGATTTCGTGCTCATGGGGAATGATCACAAATGCTCTATTGGTGGTATTGGTACTGTTCGGATCAGGATGAGTGACGGGGTGATTCGGGAGTTGGTTGGAGTGAGGTTCGTTCCTCAGTTGAAGAAGAACATCATTTCACTTGGAGCTTTGGAGGCAGCAGGCTATAGGGTGACCTTGGCGGATGCACGCTTGAAGGTTACATTTGGGTCCATGATTGTGATGAAGGGCGTCAGAAGGAGCAATTTGTACTATTTACTTGGGAGCACAGTGATTGATAGGGAGATGACGACTTCATCAGATTCGACTAGACTGTGGCATTGTTTGGTGCTGGGGTATATGATTGGTAATGTCGTGCATTGGTTGTTGAGGAGTGCTATGACCTGCAGATTGAAGTCCTGTGAGCATATTGGGATGAGCAAGACCGTGGTGGAGTTTGGCACTTCTATCCATCGAGCGAGGGGTCTTTTTGGAGGTGTTCAGTCAGGCATTTGGGGGCCTTCCAAGGAGGCATCATTGGGAGGTAATCGTATCTTGGTTTCCGCAGTTGATGATTG